GAACACTCACTCACACATGTACTTTTGAGAGAATTATTCTTGATCTATGTTTGTACATTGCAGGGTAAATCAGCATTGTGGTCTCATTTATTAGCATACCAAGATATGAGAGTTAGAAAAGACTCATCACCGGATCCAAACTTTTTAGTTCCAAGTAAGACTGGCATTATATGACCACGGGCCATCAGCTGTAACTTTACTAATTTGTGTCATTTATAAAATATATCCAGTGTTTTCTTGAAATCATATCTCCTTTTTCCAATATTGTATTTGATGTATTACTTGTTTGTATTAAGTCAGCCCTTGTTCCTATAAAGAAGCGATGTACAGGAGTCAAAATTCCAGAGGAGAGCTTTGGCTTTATTGGTGCCCCTTGAATACTGTAGATGTTTGACACCCCCCCAAACAAATTGTGTATAAATAACCCTGAATGTTTGTATATTGAGTAATATTATTTTGTGATAAATCACATAATTTTTTTTTCGTGAAATTGCCCTTATTATATAAAAAAAAAGGAAATTCAGACGATATAAATATTCTTTGACTTTTGAATGGACGTTGCTGCAATTGAATGGTGAAGTTACAGCTGCTGGGTCTACGTTGTTGCTTGTTTTTCACCAGAGAGGGCAATATTTGGATAACCTGGTACACTTGTACCATCTTTTGAAAATTTGTTTAAGAATTACAAAATAACTAGGGTTTTTTTGGGATTTCTTCAAAGATTGTTGTGTGGTTGAGTCCTCGTTTTCCCTTCACACTATATTGTATTGTAAGCGCTGCATGTTCCTGAAAGCACCGCAGTCGTCACGTAGCTTGTGTTTGAATTTTGTGAACCATGTATTTTACACATGTTGCATACGTTGCATGGGACCCACACTGACCACACTGTTGCATGACTGGTGATTCAAAGCTAGGAGTCGTCACCATAGCGTGTCGTTGTTTACAAACAAGGGTCTATCCATGGGCCTATGCGTTTCTAGCGTGCGTTGTTATCGCCGCTTGGGACTTAATTCCTGTGTGTACGCAGGTGACAACCCTTCGCTTTAAGTATGCAAGGAACAATATTTGTATTCTACGGAGCATGTTACAATTCGTCATCAAATGGGGATCACCTTGGGTATAAGATTAAATATTGTTTTCACTTTTATTAACATTAACATGGAATTCGTTTCAATACCTATATATCTATAGCACATATGGATTTTAAGCCAATAAGAAGATTGCTTTTCTTCTCAATTAAATCGTTTTTTTATTCAGTCTAAAAAAAAAATATATGTTGAATGTTTTAAAATTTATTAATTGTTTCCAATTACATGCATATTATTGCTTCTATGCATCAAAGTTTGATTTGGATCCGCAAAACATCTTAGCAAAAAAAATTCTCCATTCCATCCAATACCATGCACTTCAATGGTATGTTAGAGTGCAAACAAAAAGTATGCGAGATGCACAGGTTTTCAAACTGGCGTTCTCAATGAGGAGAAGCATAATCTTTCTTTTTGTTTATTGAATAAATTGTGATTTGTGATCATGATAACAATAAAGAAATACATGAAACATCTTATTACAAATTGAAATATTTAACGAATAATTATGGTGATATTTGAAGTGTGGTCATTCTGGATTATTTGCGTTATATTTATGTTATGTTCTCTGTATTGTGTTCAAGTATTATATTTGTATTGTGTTTTTCTCTTTATCTCAATACTTCACCTATTATCTACTGTGGCTGATCTTTCCCCAAAATGCTGTCTTAATGTTCAGTCAACCCTGTTTGTGCAGTTTCAAAATAAAAAACAAGAGTGTCATTCTAAACCAACTCTAGAGGGTGCTCACTGACCACTATGGAGCAATGTATCTCAACTTAGGGGGATTTGATTGGTTAGAATGAATTCAATGTTTGTTTTTCATTTCTTTTCTCTGAAGTCAAAGCCAGTACTAGTTTACCTTTGGATTGGTTAAGAGGTGCTTTCAAGTTCAAACTTTTTCAAAGTTTTGTCAAAGGTATTCCTATGATAACTATAACTTATTGTTGTTATATTTTTCTTTTTTATTTAGCTTATTTATTTTTTGCTGATCCAGTCTGAAACTGTCTTCTAGTCCTGTCTTGTTTTTTTTTGCATGCACTTTTCCTTTT